CAAGATGGCAAGACTGACTTCATGAAAGATGTATATACTTGAAAACCAGGTCATTTATTAAAAGATCTTTTAAAAACTTCATTTCTTAAAAAGCAAAACTATCTACCCACCTCTGCATGTTGTCTGAAAACATTTGCATACGCTGCTGTTCTCCAAATTTGAACCTCATTCTTTCTTTTTTTTTCCTTCTTCTTAATTTTTTAAGATATGACTAGCGGGTATTGACTGAAACAGTAGCATGCTTCGCCAAGTGCCTTCTGTTTCCATACACCGATTTATCCCGTCTCCCAGAGGGACACACGGATACCTTTCTCCCACATGCAGGGTTGAGGTGTTGGACCCTCAGCCCCAGGGCTGCAGGAGACGGCAGCCTGGGGTTTTTTAGCTTCTAAACCTGTTTTTCTTGTACCACAGCTGGAAGTCTCCCACAACAGCCAGGTGAGGACAGACTTTGCCTCTCCTGGATCTTCCACCATCCTCTTGTTTTACGATAGTCTTTTTAAGCAGCGCTTTTTGGCCAGCTGCCTGGGAACTGAGCATGTAGTGCAAGTGGTCTGGGTGCCACAGGTATAAAACACACAGGTACCGTGTTACCAAACAGCAGAAGGCAAAACAATAACTATTGCTTGGGTAGTGGGCCCGTATCATTCTTTTCACTGGAAATTGTACCGCCTTTGCACACCGCAGTCCTCAAGCCAGCATTTGACATGGAGCCAAAGAAGTAGCAAGAGTATGCATTGAGTGAGATACAGCAGAGAAAGAAACAGAGGCAATTTGGGACCGAGAGGTTGATATTTCAAGATATGTTTGGCGTCCTGTTCTTAATGAGTGTTTTCAACCACGGCTTCTTCCTGAAGAATCACCTCTTGCTGTTTCATCTTGCCTACAAATAGCATGGCACGCCAGAAAACTAAAAAAATAATCCATTCAATAGATTACTATCTGTTTGGGACATGGTAGCTCAACTGCAGCCACAGAGTTACTCTCTTGGAAACAGGCTGCCGTGAAATTGGGGGTTGTAAAAGAGAGGACAAGTCGTGGGAAAGTTTCTTTGGGATTCAGGGGCGTTAACGGAACTAAGGGATGAGGCTGCTTAAGAAAGGAGGCTAAGCAAGGAGAGTATGACGACCTTGGTCATACATTTCAGAGAAGAGAAAACAAAGAAGTCAGACAAGAGAAGGGAGGAACATGCAGAAAGAAAGAATGGAAACTGGGAAAACTCAGAAAAGGCAAGACACCAAGAAGGTGGAGAAGACTGGCAGTGCCAACAGTAGGAAACAATAATAGCACAGATACTAGCACTCTCTTACTCTTGTCATAAGACCATCATGAAAATTACTTTAAATTTAGAAGAATGACATTTAAGAGACATTACATAAATGATTATTTTTCATGAAAGCTAAAAGAAAAAAGTCACCACTTATTATTACTGACTTTTGATGGGCAGCCACAACCCAATTCTTAAGTGATCAAATATAAAATATGCTTGAAGGCTGTTCCTACCTACCGGGGCAAGACAGATGGTGAGGTGTAGGTGTCTCCACTTGAGACTGCACTGCACCCCAAACGGACAACATCTGAGTATTTTAACAGCAACGTCCTAACCGTAACAAACGCTAGGACCAAGCTACTGATCACCACCTGGGCTTCCAGAGAGTAAAATAAAAAGTGTTTATGGGTTAATACTTCTGACCAAAACTTGCTTATTTAGAGGTTCACTTAACAGATGCCATCAGGAGATGAAAGTCCTTACACAGAACAGACAATTTTAATGGCCTTTCCTGTTAAGCTATGGGTGATATATTTCAAAGGGCAGATTACTGGAGTCTTTCTGCTGACAGTGAGGAATGTCAGATGAATTCAGAATAACAGTGAACATTTAAGCCTTGGTAACAAGGATTTTAATATAGAGTCATATTACAATTCAGGACAAAACAGCTTGGCCAATTTATTCTCCTGCACAGCACAAAGGGACCTTACACTATATCTGCATTTATATTCATCGCCAAAACAGGCAATGGACCCTTACTGTTCATGGGAACAAAGCTCCAGATGCTCTTATATTCTAAGCCTAATGTGCTCAGCTACTGGTATAGCACCATTAATCACATAAAACATGAGTTTTATAGCCTTGGAAAACTGGAACCTCCCAGATTTATTGGTTTGACTACTCTGCTTAATAAAAAGTTTCATATGAACAAGTGAGCTCTGAATAGAATGTACTAAACATTATCATCCCATAATCAATAGGTATTGGGAAGCCTGTTTTTAAGGTTTAGTTCCTTTCCTGTTCTCCCACAGACTGAAATTACTCAGCTCTGTACTGCAGAGCTCCATTAAGCATTTTGTTTTTCATTGAATGACTGGAATCAAACACATATGGCCCCCATGGATTGATAAACTGCTGTAAAAAGAGGTAAGTCAGCAATACTGATTGGCTCTGTTGTCTCAGCGAGCCTTTTGATTTTTGAATTTCTGCCAAAAGCATCATCATTCTGTGTTTACCCTTCGAAAAGCCCTCGGTCACTCAGATGGCGCATACGCTCGCAGCACAGCGCTCGCCCTTGCAGAAACAGTATCCATAAAAATTTCAGTTCTTGTGTTTGTTGAATGGAAATTTGTGGCGCAGATTCTATCTCTGTCATGTGATTAGAAGACCAGTTTTACTTTGCTGCCCATCTCTCTCACTCAGAAATAGTTTATCCCTGTGCCAAGCTGTACATAACTTTCAAAGTGTAGGTCTCACATCATTTTCCTCTTCCTTTCCCTCCCTGGCAAATCAAAATAACAGAACCACCATAAACCTCTGTGGTGGTTTTGTGTGTGTGTGAATTCATACTAATTACTAAAACCATACTATGTTTTGCTTCACTTCTGGGGCTCAGTACTGGCTTTCACAGGATGCCACAGCCTTGCGTCTCCCTCCAGAGCTGCTGCTGCAACAAGAGTTGCTGTTTAAGCAGGGATGCTTGCTGTGTGCTTCGCACCTGGGTCAGTGTCTGTTGGAAACAGCAGGAACACGACCAGGACGGGTCCCTGATGAGGTCTTTGAGTCGGTTACAACTCCCTGCAAATTCAACGTTCGGTACTTGGGAATCTCCTAAGGATGAGACAAACAACGGACCCTCTCGATGTGACGGCGTTACCTGTCTGCGAAGACAAAATGATTATTCCCATTTGAAAACAAAAACAGATCAGACACTAACGATTTGGGTTTTATGCAAACCTACAGGTTTGCATAAAAAGACTTGCATAGCTGCAAGACTATAAATAAATAAATCCTATCTGCATAAACTGTAATAAAGCGACAAATGAAGGCAACTGTTACCTGCTTGTTCAAAGCCTGGTGGGCATTTTGCAACCTTGTGATGTCTATTACTGCAGCCTCGCCAGAGCTGCAAGCTCAGTCGGCTGTGAAGGTCTGGGCTCTGTAAAGCCTTATTCCCGTGCGCGTTGTACGAAGCGGGGACAGCGGAGTCAGAGCCTGGGCTGTGTCAGAGGTGCTGCTTAAGAGCTGGGGTGAGGAAATGCTCTCTTACAGATAGCCCACAAGCCCAAACCCCTTGTGGCATTAAAAGGAAATTGATTTGACTTCTCAAGAGCCTACGGCTTCCTAGGAAACCTTGGGAAACAAGTTCAGAATACTAGCATATGCTCTAATCCATTTTCTAGTTATAAAGGCTTCTTTATTACTGTTTTTGGCTGACAACAGTTGAGATAGCACGTTTATCATCATTCTTAAAACACTCGAGAGAGAACAATGTGAGTGCGTTCTTATTTCGGTTTTAACTTCTTTATTTCATTGCTGTACAGCTGCATTACACTTGGCTTTAATCCCTTAAGCATTATTTTCCTTGGCAAAATAGTCACTGAACTGAGTAGAACTCACTATTGGAAAAATATGCTTGAAAAAGCAGTGTGATGTCAATGCCAACTGAAACCCATGGAGCTTAAAATGTCACAAATGTTCCCGTAGCTGAAATACATCGCTCCTCATTTTTTTGATCGGACGAGGAATGTTGTAAGTCTTAGGTTGTGAAGCCAATTGTAAAAACCATAGAGTAGCCTCCCGAAACTGAATGTGTGCATTCACCCCCCCTCCCCCCCAAATGATCATTTGGAAAATAATTATATAAAACTTGTCGTAGGATAATTCCATAGGCAACAAATGACTGCGTGGCTCCGCTTCCAGCCTCGCCTGCATTAACTGTGGCTATCGGTAAGAAGTTGGGCTACAGGCTTCTTAGAGAAAAGATAGAACCCGACTTTGTAAAACATCTTTAATATTCAAATATATAAATAAGCACTACTGAAGAGTAATTCAGAAGACTGCAGTGATTCATTATGAACAGATGCTATAAAGGGGAACAGTAACATTGCTAGGTAAGGAAGAAGCAAGCTATTTTAGGAGTCTTGAAAATCTCTTCTAGTTCTTCAGACAGATCATGCTGCTATAGTTACTTTATAAAAAATTATATTCTGAAAAGCACTTTAGTAAAAGAAACCTTTTACTGGAACTATTATTTAACCAAGACCTTCTACAGCACTAAAACACACTGCAATTGAGTTCCTGATATAGTTTTAAGAACGGGAGGGGTAAAAAAAAGAACAAAAAACCTACCATACCTGCACCAGGAGCTATTTATTAGCATAACACTCTTCCTTTTAAAGATTTCGTAACAACTGAAGTATATACAAAGTCTTACAGCATTTACACAATAAAAAAAGTTTCCTATTAGCTGATGAAGTATAAGGTAGTGCTGCAATTTACCTCAAAGCATGTATACAATAATAATGAAGCAGACCACTGTACTTTCAACTTCTCTGCTACCACACCACCACTGTCAGTTGAAATGACAGTTAATTAAACCACTAGGAAGACACAGATTGTCAAATGATTTGTAACAGGTTGACCTGCAGCACTAACCATCATAAGGAGGGACAAAAAAAAACAAAACCCAAAAAAACAAAAAAAAAAAGAAAAAAGCTACATACTGTCATGTTTCTACACTTTCCTAGAGCTGTAACAAACTTTCACAGCCTTAGATATAACATATGCAAGACAACATAATCACAGTTTTTCAGATATAGTTCAGCTACTGAGTGTATTTACTTCAGAATAGAAGGTGTTATAGTGATATGGCTGTGTGTTTCCATTTTTGTTCATTAACTGTTGAAATAGGTCTACAAAAAAAATTAAAAGACAGCATGGAGTTTGTAGTCATGATGTGTTTGACTAATAAAGGCATTCAATATCAGCTATAGGACCTAATCATTCCTGTCAAAAGTTTAAGACCAGGAATCTTTGAGTAAAAATCAAACCCACAAAATCCCGCACCTACGCTGTATTCATCTGTTGACTCCAATCTTCTTTAAGCTTTTCCAACAGGGATAATACAAAATCATTAAAATGCTTACACCAACCCAAATGCAAGCCTCATTTAGTTTAATGAGAGGCCAAGCAGATTCACTAGTCTACTTCTGCTGTAAAACTGAGGGAGCTTACCTAGAAAAAAGAAACCTTTGCTGAACAGTCCCTTACTACAAGTAGGGATATATAGTTTAACAACGATACGTAATTTAAGAACGTAGCATTCTTTGCCTTTGAGAAACAGTTTCACATGTGCCAATAATGCACTTTCTACAAGAGATAAGGCTGCTTTGCCTATCGTCACATGCCCAAACCTCTTATTTTGGCCAATTTTGCTTTTCTTCCCGCCAAAGGGATTCTGTTTCAACTTAGAAACTAGTAACGTCAGTTGACAATATCTGTATTAAGACAAAAAGTGACATATATAAAATCCACAAGGAACCACATAAATACCAAAGAAGTCATAGAAACTTTCCATGTAAACACTTTGATTATACTGAAGCCCTAATTAGATTCTCGTCTTAAACTTTTGGCAGATAATGTGTATGCTCAGCCAGGCTCTGTAGTTAAGTTATTGTTCAAGTGGAAGCCAGGTCAGCTCACATGTTGACAGGCATGCAACTTGGAAACATTGCACAACAAGCAACACAAAGAGATTTGAGAAGTGTACAAGACTTCAGGTAGACTTCACAACCCTTCACAACTGAATATTCACAGACAAAGATACAGTCCTTGCTTTTTCTACGGTGGATTTTTCTCTCACACATGGGACACTTTCTGTGACTCTCTAGCTTGCTTGATGCTATACAACCACTTGATGATTCTGGCATTCCTTTCAATGGCAGAAATGCCGTATGGCACACGGTCATTGGCACTGTCATCGTTTCTAAGGTCACTGTTGCTGTCCTGAGACTGTTCACAGTCTGAGCTAATCATGCTTGCACTGCGAAAGTTGAGGGATATAATATCAGAGTTAGCCCTTGCAAAATTTTCCATCCCAAGGTTTTCAAGCTCTTCAGGATCCAGTCCGCAGTAGTTAAAGAATCGTTCAACATCTGCGTCGACACGAAAGTATCTGTCGCTTAAGTCTGATTTTGATCGCTGTAGGGAGGGTCTTCTACTAACTCCGCATCCAGATTCGACTGCCTCAATCTCTGGGGATTTCAGGGTGGCGATGGCAGCGATTTTGGGCTTTGGAGGCAGAGGTGGGGCTGAACTACTGCAGGGTATTGCTTTTAAGGGCTTTGCGCTAGTTACTTTCCTAATGTCTGAGGAGCTGTGAGAGACATGCAAGAAAGTCTCTGCCGACTGATCTAGGAGCCTTCTGCTGACGTTGGAGCTGCTCTCCTGCGGGCTGCTACGGCCCTGCGTGGGGTAAACCTTCAGAGATTCGGCGAACGAGTGTCGGTTCAGCTCTGTCGAATCGGCTCTGTGGGGCGGCCAGTTTCGGGGACCATGCTTATGCCCTGAACCTGAGCTGGAGCCTTCGGAGCTGTTGATGATGTTCTTCAAAATCTCGAGTTTCAGGTTTTCTCTCTGGACGCCGCTCTCAGTCTTCACGTTGTTGCTGAAGACTTTCAAGGTGGGGCTCCCCAGCGCTCGCTTGGCCGCAGGACAGACCGGAGGCTTCGCCAGCACCGCCGGCTTCACAGGCTCCTGCTTGGCGTTGATGACCTCCTGGCTCTTGACGTATTTCGCCTTGTCGGCCTCTAGCCTCTCCACCGCGCTCAGTCTTTTTGGATTAGGCTCCGCCTGCCTGCGAAAATAGTCGGGTCCTTTGTTCAGGATGCGGAGAGGAACGGCGGACGTGAAAGTCACAGCAGGGCTTACCGGCTTCACCATGCTACCTGTCGGTAGTGTTTCTGTAGGCATGTTTGGTGGTCTTTCCCCCGCAGCCGTTTTGGATTCTTCTCTGGGATCTCCTAAATGCACGGTGCAGAAACATGTACATTAAGCACAATGAATAGCCGATGAATCCTGGGATCTGAGCGTTAGCAGCAGCGCCTCATCTCACAGCTCATTAAATAACACTGCGTTTCTCTTTTAAAGGCAGCCTTTGTAGGGCAAGGC